TGCATATTCATTTTGAATGTGGTGATTCATCTTTGGAAAGGTGAACGTCAATTAATACTCACTATCTCTTCTTGGTGGAAGCCTCACACCTTCACTATAAATAGGAAATTTGAGAGAAGCTTGTGCATAACTAGAGAGTTGAGAATCAAGAGTGAGAATGTTTATAATCTTCTTTGAGAGAGAAATTGAGTGATTCCATCACACTTGGTAAGATAATTTGTATACCATCCTATAAGGGTGAGGTTAAGTATTATCCTCTTATATTGAGAGAGAATCATTGTAATCCTACTTTTATAATGAAGATCTTTACCGGCTAGTGCCCGTAATTTTTACTTTTTACATTGAGAAAGTTTTTCACGTTAAAATTTTTGTATGTAGTTCTCTTTATTTTTTTACTTTCTCTTAAGCTTATTTTAAGTAACATAGACAAAGAAAAATCCCACTTACACAAAAATTGGTCTAATTTTTCAACAAAGAGAACAATTCTTAAGGATATATCAATCATTTCTTACATCAAGAGAAGACTTGTATTCCCTTTGACTTTGTAGTACTCATAAAAGGAAGGTAGATTATACTTTTTTTAAAACTACCTACCATTGAGGATTTTATATACATACTGAAACACCCTGCCTAGTTTTGAATATTATATCTTCTTTACTTGTATAGAGGGAATGTCAATATCTACAAATAATTTAGCATAAAAAAGGTATATATACTATGAATTTCAAAATAAGGGAGCAATGTTGATATTGTAAACATTTTTAACATGTTTTTCTGGGATGTTTGTTTACACTTTTTATCATTCATTTGCTTTGTATGTTATATTGAACTTTAACTTTTACTTTCCTCTTCTTTCCCTTTTCCACCTTACTAGTTTGTATTCTCTAAAATTTCATAGTTCTAACAATAGAATATAGCATTTAACTAGCAAACATTAAACAGAAAATGTATGTGTAGTATATATGATCAATGCAATTCTTTCTTCCACTCTAAATTATAACTTTTGGAATTTTTTAAAAAAAAAAGTTATAACCTTTTTCTCTGATAAATAGAGAATAAATAAGCACCCTATAAACTAGTAAAACATAGTGTTGGAAATGAAATGGTAAGATAGTGTTTTAAAACTTGAAAGAAAAAAAATTTGGCCCATTTCTCGATTTATGCATGTCATCCTTGTGCAGGGGCCATGGATCGAGAGACCTTTTTTTTAGCTATTTAAAAAATAGTTTTTAAAATATATAAAAGTAATTTTTATTTTAGTGAGTAGTTATAATTTCAATTCTTTTTTAGAAGCTATTCAAAGCCACTTCTTTATAAAAAGCTAAAATTAGATTATATTCAGGGTAGAAGCTAGTATGAGTTAGCAAAGTAAGTGACTTATGAGTGAGTGACCATTATTAAACTATTAGATGTATTTTAAAATTTATAAACAGTTTCAAATCTTTTACCTATAACTTAATAATACAAGTTTATACATATTTATCATTTAATCCTTTATAAAAAATTTCAAAATTTCTCTTTGGACTTTCAAAACCTTTTATTTTGCAACTTTAAAACATATTAGTGTCTTTTGTCTTCAAAATTTTATACGTTGTGTTTTCTCATCTTCACTTTTGTGTATCTTAGATCTTCTAACTTTATTTTAAGAAAGTATGCATTCAAATGTAGTTTAAATACGTAAAAAAAATAACTTTTGAATCAATAGAATGTTAAATGCTATGTTAGATCTTTTGAGTTTTTCACAAATTCTATTTATGAAGTTAATGATTTTTAGAATTAAAATTTTTACATCCACTTTTTCCGTCTTAATTTATCATGAAAATGAGGTTTTGTATTGATATATTATTCAATAACCTTTTAGATGTTTCGCATGTTTTTCCTATATAATGGTCATTTTTGCATCGCACAAATTCTGCAACATTTGTTTAAGCCGAGTTTTTTTGCTTAAACAAAAAAATAAAATAACCCATTGAAAGTGATTCGCTTAAGTGGAACATAATTTGCTTAAGTCGTGAAATACAACACAATAACGCCTTAAGCAATGAATATTAGCTTAAGCGAATACGTATTAGATTCATATATGTCTTTGATTTGCTTAAGCGCATGATCTATGGCTTAAGCTAATATTGATAAAAAATTTAGATTTATCTTTGTCTTTGATTCGCTTAAGCAAATGTGTGTTAACTTAAGCAAATTTGACGAAAAATTTAGATTCATCTCTGGCTAAATTTAGTTTAAGCGAATAACTTTGCCTTAAGCGAAAAAAATAGCGAAGTAAATTCTCTATATTTTTTCTAGTTCAACAAAATATTTTTAGTCATTACCCCTATTTTAATCAAAATAAAATGATGATTTTTAAGACAATTGGATGAGTATATGATATTTTCAAATAGAAAATTCTTACATTTGCTAACTCACTGTAGCACTTTCACCCTTTTTTTATTTCTAATTTTTTTTATAATCTTAATGAAACAATCTAAAAAAACTGAAAAGTAATTATTTTTTAAAATGTTTTTTTTTTTAAAAAAAATCTTAAACAATCAAGCTTTGAATTAGTTTAATATTAGGCTTTACAAGATCGGCTAGACTCTTCAAATGACATGTTCAACTTATTATGAAAGTACTTATATAGAGCAAATTCCATCCTAGTCTTTGAAATTATACCCTTGGCTATTTTTATATTTAACTTTGCAAAGTATCATTTATTTTAGTTCCTTTAATCAAAATAACAATAAAAAGTGAAGTAAAAATGAGCTAAAATAAATAAATTTTAACAAAATTAAGAACCAAGGAAATTTTTTATAAAATTAGAGACTAAAGTAACCGATACGTACAATTAAAGATTAAAGAATGGATATTTTCTCTCATTATGTATGTTTAAGATTTTGGACCTATAATTTCAACAACCAACTTATTATTTTAAAGCAAGTCAATAAATTGTGCCATAATTCCCTTTCTTTAATGACATAGAAATAACCTGCATTCAACCTTTAAAAGAAACTTTATTATCAATACCTTACTTTCTTTTTTTTAATCTTTTTTATCTATCTCAACTAGAACTCATTATTTTACCGTAATTAAAGTTATTTCTACGAGCAATCATTCTATACGTCACGTTACATTTTCAGAAAACCACAACTAGCAACCCTTTAAGATGAAATGTTAAAGATGCTCCAAAGTAGGCATAGGAATTTATTAATTTGGACTAAAGTCAAATGAAGAGTTGACAAATTGAACACAGCGTTTCTTAATTTGTTTTAATCTAGAGAAGTTGGAACACATGTTGAGGGTTTTTGCTAAGCATTAATTACATCGAAATGGTTGGCAAACAATACTCGCTTGTAGGAATCTATTGTAGTAAACCATTTGCCACGGTCCACTGAATCTCTTGAATGCAAGTGTTGTGGTTATTGTCATAAAGAATGAGAATATATTGAATTAAAATAACTTTTTCTTTTCACACAAGTGTCTAATACCTTAATTGTATGGTAAATTTTATGGTACTGTGTAAAATGAAAGATATATACTCTTGTATGCATAAAATAATTATAATTATTAATTTTAAATTAATAAATAATGAGTTTAGTAATTTATTTTAAAAAAATGTAAATATCTTCTAATTTTTAAGATGTTAAAAAAATCACAATATACAATCTAAAGAAAGTATACAATGTTTTTTCAAGTTTAGAAATAATAACAATCACCTTTTATATTTTTATAAGATACAAAAATAAAATAGTATAATTTAATTTAAAAAGCAAATTCTACTATTCTTTGTAAAATGAAAGGATATTTTATATTCTTTGACACGTTAAATAATTATGATCGTTAATTTTATATTAATAAATAATTAAAATTAATAGTTTATTTAAAAAATACATAAATATTTTTTAATTTTTAAAATATTAAAAAAAATAACAGCTCACAATTTAAAAAAAGTATACAATGTCTACTGTAAGTTTAAAAGCATATGGCAAGCAACATTAAAAAACTGCAGTGCAAAGATATAAAAATCACAAAGGATAAAGAGAACGCATGGTACGGCATGGATATACAATTAGGAACAAGATTGTCCCGTGAGCTTAATTTGAATTGAAAGATTTAATTACAAGTTTTCAATAGGAAATTTACAATTATTTTAATTATTTACAATTAATCAAATCTCAAAATTTGAACAATGAACTGATGAGTGGATAGATTGTTAATAAAGAGAAACTATAATTTCCTTCCCAAAGAATATGCCTTAAATGAAAAAGGCCAATCGTCTCAATATAATTAAAATGTTTAACTGCACACTTTGCATATTGATGAAGATAGAGAAATTCATACATCCCCTTTATTCTCGGATAATGAAAAAACAATTACATTTTCACATGTCATCCTCCCAATGGAAGAAAAATCATGAAAAAATTTCTCTTCTCAACATATGCTCATAAACACATCATTGTCTTGAGATTTAAGTAAAAGCACACATAAGCATGTCAAAATCAAAATATACATACAACATTCAAAATGGGTATCAATTAAATTGTTGAGCCCTAAAAAGCAGAAATGGTGTAAATAATGGGTAGTTTCACAAACTGCAAAGGACACTAATTTGTTCCCCTCATGTACAACCAAGAAATGGTGTAAATAATGATTTACCTATACATGTTACAAAGCAGCTAATAATAACCATGGCGAACTAGTATCATAGATCTACAGCAGTTCCCTATGCCATGATAAAATTACCAATAATCCAAAACCAATGAAGGTAAATAAGCTCAAACCATTGTTATACCAATTGCTTTCCTATCTTCTTTTCTTCTCTTGTCTTGGCAACAAAAATGTTTAGTTTATACAACAGGAGAGTAGATTTTCCTTCAAACAAAATAATAAACAAGTAGTGGTAAGATCAACGGTGGATCAGAAACTCTGCAAAAAGATCTGAGATAGTATGATATAGGTTATGCTGTGGCTCCTCAATCGCATGTACCAACAAAAGAATTGCAGCTAACAGTGCACTTCGAGTACGCGATCTTGATTAAGTCAGTAATTTGCTGGCTTGAATTGATAATAAATAAATTAATCAACTTTAATATCTGATTTTCTGTACTTCAGTTCACAAATATAACTCAAAAATAGGTCTGGTATAAGAAGCCAAAATGTATAGTGGATACTTCAGTCATCTTCAATGAAACACAGAATTGCAAGAATCATCCAAAAAGAAGCATACTATACAGTGATTAATAGATCATACTAACACTCAACCAAACAGAAATGTTCTCCTCGTTATATCGAAAAACTCCGATTAAATAAACTGATATGGTAGCAGAAAGAGTAGTGATGACAACCGTTGGTGGTACAAATTTCCAAACCAAACTTGGTAAATCAGTCAAACTAAACCAAACGTAATTTGGTCCTTAAATCCTAATTATGAAGGTTCTTTGATTTGGTTTACAAATATTTTTTTGGGTATACTTATAGACTAAACTAGATTCTGTGTTTTCATCATTTCTTGCATTATTATTGCCTTTATTTTCGATTATTTTAAATTTTTGTTTCAATTACATAAAGAACTATATACTGCAATCATAATCAATGTTACTTTATTTCTTTTTATCTATTCAGACAATAACATATGAATGCCAAACCTAAAAGTTTAGAACATAAAAAAACAAATCATGATTTGGAACTGAACCAAACCTTGAATAACTTTTAGGTTTCTTAAATTTGGGCATAGAATTAAATCAACCTCAAAAGCTAACTGAGACATAGCCTAATAGGAACTTATAAAGGTTAAAGCAATCGTCACCTTACAAATTGAGCACAAAAGTTTATGTTCAAGTTTCACATTGACTACAAATATGACCGAATAAAAACTTATAAAAACTAAAACAATTTTCACCTTTAGAGCTAGTTTTTGGGATTCAAGTAGGCTTTTGCCAAAATTGACAAGAATTATCTTAACCTTTATAAACTTTACTTTAGTAATATTTGTAGTTGATGTAAGATTTCAACACAACCCCCGTGCCAATGATTTTAATTGCACTGAAAAAATTTGTGGGGCCAATTTTATTTTATTTTTTTGTTTTACAGTCAAGGGCAATCCAATATGGAATCAATGATAGGCTTTTATACCATCTTAAATTTGGGCTTAATTCTAATTTAACCAAAAAAGCTATGTCATAAAGTGAAGATTGTCTTAGCCTTTATAAACTCTATTTTAGTCATATATGCAATGGATGTGGAATCTCAACAAGATCAATCAGTTAAAGATTCTCGGAGTGGTTCTGTTTTTGACATCAGAAAAGTATGAAACCAGACAGACTCATAAAATCCCCTCGTGACAGGCTACAGTCATCCTTGTGCTCTATAATCTCTTTGATGGATTGACTAACATTCTAACAACAAAAGGATTGAGAAGACGAGATTTCTTTGTAATAAATCTCAGATTAGTAATATTTGGCTTCAACTGTCAATTAGGTTTAAACAAATCATCAAGCGAAAAGAAAAGTATTCAAATATTGCAAATCCACACATAATAGTGTTTCCATAACTATGGGAAACATGAGCAAGTAAGAATCCAATCATAATTACTAGTAGTTACAAGCATGTTTTACTACAGAGTCAGACTAATCAAGTATACTTTCATGTAAGACAATAAAGATCAATGCTTTTTCTTTACATATATTATGATGGGTACATGTAATAATCAAGTTTGCTAACGAAGCAAACCCTTTCTAAGAATGTCCTTTTTTCTACCTGTTCAAACTATTCCTATTTGAATGTGGACAAGTTTAAGTTAATAAGAGGAGAATGTTGCACAACAAAACACCTAGAAGCATGATTGTTAACACTTTAACTTCAAGAAAAAAATGAGTAATACATGAAATGAGTTCAATTAACCAATAGCTTACCTAAGTTTTATTATTAGGCAATATACTACTTGCAAGGTCATCATTAATGGAAATCGGAAGAGGAGGCATTTGGCTCATTATGCCAGGCATCTTTCTCATGCTGCACAAACTTAATCAGTGAACGTCAAAATGCAATAGACATCAAAAAGCAGATCTAAACAAGAAATGTATTTGGATGACAATAATAAATAAACTTATTTATAATAATACATACTCGTTAAGAATGGTATTAATATTGTGCCTTGTCTGACCAAAGAGTTCGATGTTATCCTGCAACTGTTTATAAGAGCATGTGATCATTATACAGCTTGGAGGCCAAAACCTAATTTATATATGAATAATATGATGAGAACATGAAAATGAATAGATAAAACATACAACATAAAAAGGGAAAAAAAGAAAGAAAGCAAGTATAAATTTGTTTACCTATAAATTGCTAATCAAATCGGATTATCAACAACTATGAAGCATCAAGAAGTTTAGAGACGATTCAATTATTTTGTTGCTTTTCCGTTTAATATCATAGGTGAATATTGTCTATGTCCCAACAATTTTCTCTTTTCCTATACATGACATCAATTAATCATTGATGGAAACAGCTAAGCAGGTAAAATGTCACGTATAGTAAACTTTTAACCATGTCATTCATTACCATCATCTAAGTAGATTTTCCATCTTTTTATAAATAATCTGTTTATGAACTCACAAACACCAATAAAAATTAAAAGTTGAGATATTCACCTTGAAAGTGGATAAATTGGCAGAAATTTGACTAAAAGCTTGAGCATTTTGCTCCAAGAGTTGCTTCACAGGACCACAAATTCCTGATAGTAAAAAATGGAAGGATAAAAAAGGTAATTAACAAAATTTCAAGTGTCAATGTCAGTAAAAGTTAGGAAGCGGCTGAGATTCTGAGTATATAAAGTGTTAAGAGTTAGGTAACGAAAAAAAAGTGGAGGAAAAAAATAGATAATCTGAGTAATTCATCTAACTGTAACAGAACTTCAACTAACCAATTTTTACCAAGCCTAGCCAAAAGACATGTAAATGATAGTAACATTTACAGTTATTATATTTAATATTGACATATTTATATTTCATAAGCTTTAGTGTTACAAAGTTATTAGGATTGAAAATTCCTTTCTAACTTTTAATTTCAAAAATAGAAAAATAATACTAGATAGTGCTGTAAATATGTAGATTCTAGAACAAATAAACAACTAAAAGTTGAACAGAAAGGAACAAAAAGAAACAAATTTATAAAAATAAAATAAGTAGATTCAAATATTTAATTATTTTTATTTTACAAACACATCATGACTGTTCGACATAATACCAATGTATATTATAGGTTACAGAAAGAATTAATAACAAATAGGGAAAAAGATTATATTATGAAAAGTAAAATACGTATGCATGCAAGTGAATATCTGGTAGCAGAACCAGAGCTCATTAGGAGGGTTTATAGGATAAGCACCTGTCAATCAAGGGATATAATTCTAAAATGCAAAACCCACAAGATAACTTCTTTCCTCCTCATGAAACATTTTGTTGGAGAAAAACCTGCTTTCTTCTTAGTCAAAAACCTGCATAGTTTCTTCTTCCTTAGTTGAAAACCACTGAGTTGTTCTTACTCTCTCCTTACCACTTAAAGAAAGCTATATATCCAATCTAATCACACATACTTTAGGGGGAAATCAGCATTCAAGCAGGTTCTCCTCCAACTATTTAGTTGAAATATAATTTGGTCCCTAAGAAGGTTGTTTGGGAAGAGGGGTTTTGGAGAGAAGGGAAGGGGAGAACAAATTTTCTATTTTAAATTAATATATTTTCAAAATAAAAGATATGAAATAATATATTAATATAAACTTAATGTATTGATCATACATTCATCATAAAAAATGATATATAATGCTCTTAATTTAAAATTAAAAAATGTCCTCTCTTCCTCTCCAAAAACCCTCTTTCAAATAGTGCCTAAATGTAACAACTTATGTTACATAAGGTCCCTAGAAGTGTACGTCTATACAAATTGGTCCCCAAAACGGTCAACTTGTTACTAAGTTTACCCAACAAAATTGTCAACTTGAAGCCTCAAAGGACTAATTTGTATATATGTAAACTTTCAAAGACCAAAGTAATACAAGTTGCCACTTTCAAAGACCAAATTATACATCCACTATGTTATCAGAATTTTTTTTTTTCTTAATAATAGAATGCATAGTATATGATGGGCCAAATAGCAGAGGAAGATAATGGCCCAAACATCTCCAAAATTGAAAAAGGGGAATAACAGAATAACACATTAGTAAAATAAAATGAAAAATTAGCAGCCAATGTGCTAACTAATTTGTACAGTCAGCAAGCTTGAAATAATAAGTTTAAAAAATACCATAAAATGCATCAAACCTAAATTTAAGTTGAAACTTGTTGAACATATAAAAACCATTTCTATGACCAAGTAATTAAGAGGTTGTTTCTTGAAGCCCCCATTCATAATTTAATTAATTTTTATCAGAAAGTAGAGTAATCTCATGCATTGTAAATGCTTCAAGTGCAAAGGGTCTCACGTGAAGGGGCGGATTAAACACACAAAGCCATTTTTGGGCTTCCACCTAATAGTTTATGCTTTATCTTGTCCTTGACCGAGCCAAACAGGAACTTCCAAAATCAGAGATATTGGTGACACTTGCGTATGTTGTAAAATAACAACTTATGTGAAAATTTATATTGCTATATACAATAAAGTAATATACTAACCATCATTGCAGAGCATGCCTTGACTTTTGTCCATATGGTTTGAAATACGAGAATATGTGGTCATGCTTGGGCTTAAAGTTGACTGCAAATAGTGCTTTGATGAGGACTCCACTGGCTTATCCTGAAGAAGTATAACTTTAGAATAATATTTTCGAAATCACACTAGATCTTGATGACACTAATTGATTCAATATTATAAATACAGGATACCGTCTATGGTTTGCAAACATCCTAGATATTTATCATCAACACTCTTTTATTCTTATTGCATAAATACATAACCTAAGAAGCATTTGCTGGAAAAACAAAGTTATAGATATTTTAGCATTAGTATTCTTCTACTTTTTAGCTTTTGTAGAACATCTCTATTAATATTTCCTTAAGAATCTAAAAAGAGATTTCTTCAATGGAGAAGCATGCATAGTTTCCTATGTGGTTTCTTTGAGAAGATAAGGTGTACATCTTTTACCTCTTCCAATCAACTCTTGTACAAAAAGGAGAGAGAGAGAGAGAGAGAGATACAGAGACTCTCCTTATTGCCATAAGTTAGCACTAGATTAGTGATAACTTTGGGAGAACCACACCACAAAAGCTAGCCATTGTAATTGGAGAGCCCTAGACCTTATAAACCCCACACTAAAATCCCATACCTTGCAATTAGGATCCTAACAATTAGAATCACAAAAAAGCAACTTCATAAAATTGTCTTTTCAATCAGTAAATATTACCCAAGCATATCTTCAAAATTAGAAGTGAATTGGTAAATATATTTTAAATGCAAAGACCTACTTAAAACATCAAGTACAGATTTCACTGAAAATTACTCAAGATTGACTAGATTATTCTTCAAGAAACACTAAAATTTCACATACCTTCCTATTGTTGACCTTCTTAACCATGTGTTCTTCAGATTTTCTTCGCTTCCTCTGCAAAAGGGTTTAAACAGTATTTTTTAAGTTCTTATATACAGATTTAAGGTACTATTTATATAATTACACAAGTTTTATATTTAATACATTATGTTCACACATTGCATAACCTTTTTTTTTTTGGATAAAAGTTTATACATCACAATATCTATTCCCTTTTAAATGGGGAAAAAATGGGCAAGGAAATTTAACTTGGTTCATTTTAATTAAGAGACATCAACTTGATTATGACATAGGAATAGGATGAAGTATAACCTTTAAATAGGTTTTTTTTTTTTTTTTTTTTACTTTTTTTCATCTTGGATAAAATATCCTATACCTATAAAGGGTCCTATAGAAACAGAATTTATAACAGCGAGAAATGAGGTAAAGAATGACCACAGAAAGGATAAGACATCTTCCCAAAATGAAAAAAACAAAAAAAAAACGAGAAACAACAAGAAACTAGAAAACTTAATGAATGAATAAAGCTGTCCTGTCTCTGCATATCATAGATAGCAACTCTCTTGTAATATCCATAAGCAGAATATAAGAGAAGTCATAAACACAATCCTTTCGGTAGAAGAAATGGGAAAAGTAAGGCAACAAATACATAGTAAAACAAGAAGGTAATAAATAGAATGGGCTTCTTAGAGATTTTGAATTGAAGTGCATAGTGAATGATAGTTCAGATAGAAAGTGCAATAGCCATGCTGTTCAGAAACATCAATGCTAATTGTACAATGCAACCAGAACCTTCAAGTGCTTAGCTATTGCACAATGCTAATTACAAGGCTACAACAGGTAAAACTTTATTTATCTAAACAAAAAGTTAGACCTACAATAGATATAACTTGCAAAAGACCTAATTAAAATTAGGTTTTACACTTCACATGTTAAAAAATTGGTTACAAGATCCTTATTTGTATCTTATCTACATACATACATATATCAACTTTCTACATGGAAGAGAGTAATTCAGATGAGCCCAAGAAGTAATATTTAATCACTAAGAAAAGGCAACACAAATACTACATACTACACAGCTTATCTAAAAGTATAAGCACTATATTATAAAGCAGAAAACAATTTGGACTTACAACAGAGGATTTGTTTACTAAAATAACAGTTTATCTTGTACAACATTACAGCATTTCTATCATTCATAGGCAGTATTAAAATAAGAAGATTGGAGACTTTGTTAAAAGAGAGAGCTTACAGTCATCCAGCTACACCTCAAAGCAACATCACGAACAGTTTTATCACGCAATGTAGCAGCAATTTTGATATACTTCATAATACTTGGCTCGTCAGCATATCTAGGCATGATAGAAGGAAAAAAGAAACCAATTGTTATGCATAAACTATAAAAAGAGAAAGAACATATCAGCACAAGCATAGAACTATACTAATCTATGCACTTCTAAATGAAGAGAAAAGCATAGGACTAAGTAAATGTAAGCAAAGGAAAAGAAAATGAAAAAGAATTTGCAGCATTTGAAGCAAGAATTAGAAATCAATTTAGGGACATCACATTTGGAACTTGAAAATTAAAAGTGTAAAAGAAAGCATGCAGTTTCAGAAAACAGAAATAGACAGCAAGAAGACATGTTTTATTCCCTAACAAGACATCCCTCGGTAACATAACTAATAAGCCATGACTTATAGAATTGTTAACAGCTGACTCATTGTATTTGAAGTATTCTCTAACAGAAACAAAATAGAGTATATGACAAGCGAATAAAGCTGTTTTTTTTATAAAAAAAAACCATTAAAGAAGATAAGCACACCACAGGCAGAGATAAGGTATCATCAAGAGTGGAAATAAACCAACACGAGTATAATAGAAAACAGAAGAGAATTAGGAATAAGCATGGATGCACGATCTCTAAGGATTTTATTGATGCCCAAAAGCCTTCAAACAGTTAATACCAGAAAGATGCCAAGAACATAACTTCAGGGATACAAAGTAATAAACATACAAAACAAAAAACAATGTATTCATGGCCCTAAACCTGTTATGGGATATGATGGTGCTCATTGCTTCTATTTGGTGTTCTACAACAGTTTAAGGAGACTGATTCCTTCTGATGTGCACCAAGAGTTGGCATAATTGTTACATTCTTGAGTTTTTTCACATTCCCCGTGGCATCTAATGTTTTCTGTTCTGTAAAATTTATTGTCCTCCCCCTAGCTGTACTTCTCCTTTATCTAACAATATTTGTTTTTATCAAAATGAAAACTTCACTGAACATTAATACCATCTTTCTTAAATCCATTTGTAATGTAAGTCAAACACACACACACACACACACACACACACACGCACACACAAAAAATACCAATTATTGAAACTGAAGTTATGTGACAAGAACATGTAAAATACATGAGCAAGTTAATAACAGACTAATTTTCTGAAAAAAAGTAAAAAGTACTAACTGCAAACAAGTTTCAATGTGTGATACAAAGATGCCAAAATCAGTAATCAATAACAATACTAACAAACAATAAACTACTTACTTGACAAGGCCCTCATCCAATTTGTACTGTTCATCAACAGACCACTCAACAGCCAACCCTGCATCATGCTTCAGTCCAGGGACTGAATCAAGAAGAAGAGAAGAAGAAGCAGATGGACTGCCAGATTGACTTATGATAGAGTTGCTGACATTGCTAATGATGCTTGAATTCCCAGAATATACCATCCCAGAGGCACTATTACTATTATTATTCAACCCAAAATAATTACCCATTGGAACCATCTCAGGTATGCCACCAACAGCCCCAGATTGAAATGATATTGCATGCCAGTTCAAAGCAGAACCCATATCATCATAGTGAAAACCAGTGTTTGACCCTGCTGCCATCACTTTCCCCTATTTGCACCAATTCACTGATTCTAGGTGTTCATCATTTTACCAAAATCATTCAAATTTCTTGAAGAAAAAGAAAACCCAGATAGAATCAGATCCCAAATACACACAAGGTCCTGCATCAGGCTTCCATAGCAGAGAAAGATAGAATCTTGCTCAGTTCAACTGCAACACACAAATCCCAGAAACACAAGGATTCAGCAAAGAAGACAAAACTCAACGATCATAAACAAAAATTCAAACTTTATCCCAGAAATGATGAAACCAAGCTTCAAGACAGGCCCTGAAGCATAAAAAGAAGAAACCCAAATCAGTTTTTTTTTTTTTCGTTATGTATAGAGAGAGAAGAAAACTTTTTGGTAGCAAAGTTAGCAACTTTTTGCTTAGTGAGAGGCATACTTGGTGGCGGTGATACCTTTGTGTGAGTGTGAAAGAATGTGTGTGCATCTGACTACACAGTATTGAATGTTGCTGTGGCTGCAGTGGTGGCAGTGCCACTACCCATTTGGCATTTGCCACTTTACTTTCTGGGTTACGTTACAATACAACAGATTCTGACTTTCTCTCTCTAAGACGAGAGAGAGAGAAATGTGTATTGGGTATTGTTGGGTTTGAGCTCCAACCAATGAGGAAGACATGAAAAAGCGTGTCTTATATTTTGAGAAAAAGATAATAATCTCATTCATGATGGTTCAAATTGAATGGATGGATGGCTCTTGTGGATCTTGGAATTTAGCAAACTGTGTCAGTGCGAATCCCAATATCCATTTCTCATTTTATATTTATGTTCTAATCATTGTTCCCACCCCTTCTTTTCTTTAACCTTAACATTTTTCTTTTTAATTTATTTTTATTAAATTTAATCTTTGCAATTACTCAAGTATGTGCCCATTTAATAATCAAGTCTATGGAATACTTATAACCAAACATGAGCATATTTATTTTAAATGTATGTTCAGTTTATTTTAAAGAAGTAATTTTTAAATAAATACTTGCAAAGTGGGTTTAATAAGTTTTTTATATAGTTTGTTAAAATAAACTTTATAATAAAACTAAGAGTATATTTTTATATAAAAAATTACAATAAACACTTATTTAACTTGTATACTCAAACCATTATCGATCGAGAAAAGGTAACAAGGAGTGGCAAAATATTTTAATGTTTTAGGACATTTATCATGCTATATTGCACACATTTTTTAATTTTAATTTTAATTTTATTTTACCAACCTTAATTTCAATTTTTAAAGTTGATTTTATGCATTTAAATATAAAAAATTTAAATAAAAAAATATTTGTTATATCAAAAGTGAAAAAAAGTAGAGTTTTTTATAAAAATTTACAATTATTAGATATTTAAATTTAATTTTAAAGATTGAATTAACAAAATTATTATTTTTTAATTTAATAATTACTTTACAGTATATATAAATAGGTAGGAAGATACAAAATTAAGGGTTGAAAATTTACTTAACCAATTGTGTCTTCTATATGATTTTACATAAAGTGATTTTATGTTTTTATATTTCAAGAAACTCTTGTATTTAACCTCTTTAAAATTTAAGAAGATAAATTATATTTTATAAAAATAATTATTTTTTATATTTATTTTTTTGTAAGAAATTTTTTATAAACTTACTTAAATTGAACTGTAGTACTTTTTTTTTCCTTTTATATTCTTTATTAGTCCAATTTTCTTTTTTTATTATTTACTTTATTTTTGTTATACTCTTCATCTCTTGAACAACTTTTTTGTAGTTGATTTCTCAAATTTAGAGTCTTAAATCAGAAACAAATCTTAACTCTCAAATAAATTTTGATAGGCTTAAGAATTTTTAATTAATGAATTTTATGATGTTCGAGAATTATTGATAGGCTTAAGAATCTTATAAGGAGGAAATTCTCTTTTAATATTGATAACTGAAATTAAGATAATATTTCATTCAATTGATAAAATTTTCAAGGAAAAAAAAAAAAACAAAGTAACGTATTCAAATATTACGTTTCATATATTATAGATTTATATTTGGATTTATAAATCAAAATTTTTAAACAAAATACAGTTATATTATTTATGAACCAATTGAATATTCAAACATTCATTTACCTTTTCTTTTCGTGAGCAACACGTAGATTATATATTTAAATTATTGATATATTAAGAACTGAAATAGATTGAGGTGACTCTAATATTACTATTAGGAAAAAAAGTTCAATAATTTTGAGGGATAATTTTTAGTTGTCTTTTTCACCTTTAAAATATATTCTTGATATGTCTATATATGAAAAATAAATAAAAAAGAGTGAAAGCTAAAAATAATTATCAATAATATTTAATTAATATCAATTTTAAATTATTTAAAAAATAAAATGACTGGTTTATTGTTGAATAAATCGTAGACCCTAAAACCTAATGTTTCCTAGTAGGGACATGAGGTGGCATTAACAGGGCAAAGAGTTGGGAATGTGATGTAAAAAGTATTTAGGGAAGAATCTGTGCTCTGGTGCTCCTGAATATTCCAAGCTTCTACCACTTTTGAGCTACAACCCAATACTTTATATTATTTTATGTTAATTGATAATACAATGTAATGAGTGGGGAGAGCAATAGTTGCAATCATTATAAAATACACCTAGACTATATATTAATTGATACCACATGCAATATGATATATATTTTTATTTTTATATACATATATTTAAAAAATTTATTTCTAAAATAAAAGAGTTTCAAGACATATACAAAACTCATCTTCTAAAAGACAAATGATAACAAAATAATTATCTGAGGTTAGTTTGAGTGTCAAGCAGTTCATTATCATTTAAGTAAAGTTTTAAGTTTAAATTTTTATCTATGTAAAAAAATTTATAATAATAAATCCACTCACTATATTTAAGTACACGACCCGGATCAGATCCGGATTATACTGAATAGAAAAAAATATAACAAAATAAAAAAAGAAAGACAAGACATGAGTGAGAAGATTGATGACCAATGTGTTACAATAAAACATTACTCATGAAAGTGTCTTGGAATAGTTAAGGTTAAAAAAAAGCTGTAATATTATATACACTACTTTTTGATAGTAAACAACTTAAGAATCTCTAAATAGTGAAAAGGAAAAAGGAAAACAGTTATACTATTATTGGCATTTTTATTTAAATATTGTTAATTAAAAAATAATTTATCAAATTATGGTATTTTTGAAATAATTTCTCTATCTGAGATGATTTTGTCAATGTGTCAAAAAGGTTTCGCTAAATCAGCTGAGGAAATAAAGTTTTTTTTTAATAAATTTCACCAATAGAACAACGAATTTAACTATACTTTGACACATGTCACATTGTGGTGAATTTCACAAAAATGATGACAAAATTTTTATTGATTTTTACCACAAGATTAGCGAAATAATGGGGCCCTGCCACGTGTCAAAATGTGGATAATTTTGCATTTTCAATGGCAAAATTTTGTTCCTATTTCACCATTCGTATTGCGAAACTAATAGGGACCTGACACGTGCACACTCAATGAAAAATTATGCAAATAATATGGCAAAACTTGATTTGTATATATATGTGTGTGCTCACTGAGACTCATTTTTCATTGAAGAAGAGCAAGCCAAAGAAAATCAGGTTAGTTTTATTTAATAAATTTTATTTTTTTATTTATATTTTTATTTTAAAATTTAATTATGAAATTAGTTATTGTTTAGCTATTTTTAATTAAATATACTATTAAATCAATGAATGAGTATTGAATTTTTTATATTTTGTTTAAAATTAAATGTTAAATAAAGTTTATTTGTAAAAATGTAGGATGAGTGAGATTATTATTATCATATATTGGAATGGTGGAATATAAAGAAAATAAAAAAGTGAGCTTTGATGGAAGTAAGAAAGTGATTCAGATAAAGCAAGGAATAAGTTTGAAGCCTTGAAAAGAAAAATTCATTTGAAACTTAATCTTAATCATAATCAAGTAATTTCTAGATTAATTTTTTATTTTTTGATTGATGAAAATATTTAACAGTATACAGTTTTAGATATATGTGATGATGAAGATATTGATTGCATAATAAGTACATTTCAACAACAATCTAGTATAAATGTTATTGAGTTATATTTAGATATTGTTGTTGGTGGAAGTTCATTAGTGCCATTGTAGATGATGAATTTAAATTTATCAATTTCACAACAAAATGATGGCACTCTTGTGAGTCGTGATCCTAATGAAGGTAAAATTAATTATGTTGTAATATCTTTTTATTAATATATGTAATTGTTTGAATTAAAAGTTATAAATTTTTTGCCATAAAGGAGTTAGAAATGATGTTGATGAAGATAATGAAGACAAATTATGACAGTTACAGTGATGGAGATGATGAAGCAAAAAATTTGTTAGGTAGTTCTTCTTTTATTGATGTTGAAGGTGAGTTTCATTCCAACTTAAATATAGAAGTAAATGAAAATTTAGGAGGTAATGTGGAATATTGTAAAAAATTTGTTGTTTTTAGTTTAATATGTAAATTTAATGCTAAAGAATTTTGTAAAATATAATGCAGGGGATATTGTAATTCCCTTTTGGAATTTTACTCCACAGTATAAGTATATTAATTGGGAATATCTTGATCAAGAAATGAATGAACAACATTATGAAGAAGTCAATTCATAGGTTGAAGGAGATCTTTTATTCGTTAAGTTGTTATTTGATAGTAAAGAAGATGTGAAAAATGCATTAAAACATTATGCAATGAAGATTCATCAAAGTTATTTTGTAGCTGAGTCAAAACTAACATGTTTGTATGTTAAATGCTTAAACCATACCTCTGGTTATCCATGGAGAGTGAGTATTTCATTGTTAAAGAATTCAAACAAGTGAAAAATAACAAGGTGGAGTGGTTCACATGCATGTGTTAATGTTAGAATTTCTCAAGATCATCAAAAGCTAGATTCTGATTTAATTTGTTTATGCATTCTTGGTAAGACAAATATTTTGTATATGTGTTTTAATTTCTTTACAATTACATTGTTATTAACTAGACCAATTGAATTTTATGTAGGAATGGTGAATGAAGAACTGTAGATACATATTTCATTGATATAAGAGCGTGCTCAATTTGGATACAAAATTTCATATAAAAAAGTTTGGAAGGCAAAGCAAAAAGTCATTGTAAAAGTATTTGGTGACTGGGATGAATCATACGCTATCTTGCCATATTAGTTAGAATACATGCAATTACATGCTCCTAGATCTGTTTATAGAATTAAAATAAAAGAGTATGTGGCTTGTCATCAAGTGGATAATAGGTTTAGAGTATTTAAATAGTTATTCTGGTCATTCAAACGATGTCATGAACCTTTTAAGTTTTGCTAGCCTATATTACAAGTGGATGGGACGTTCTTATATGATAAGTATCGTCATACATTGCTCATTGCAACAACTCACGATAGAAACAATTATGTCCTTCCAATAACTTTTACAATTGTTGAAGGAGAAACCTTGTTAGCATGGGAATGGTTTTTGGCATTGATTCATTTGCATGTTATTGATAAGTGAGAATTTGTTTGATATCAGATAGGCATCAAAGTATAAAAGAAGTTGTCTCAAATCC